GCACTCTAGGTTTAGCCTCGGAACACTCATGGTATGTTATATGCTGGCAGAAGATCCCGCGATTCAGAGTCTCCTTTCACTTCGTGGATCCGTTATTGTATTTCCAACGATTATTACAAAGCATTTTTTTTTTATTAATCACTTCAATCAGCTGTTGACTAATATTCAACAGTTTGTACAGTTTATCGATTTTCGTGGAGTTGTAATACATTTACATTTGCGAATTAGCTTGTTAGATTAGATCGAGAGTCAGAACATATATCTGCAATTGGATTTCAAGAGCTTACGAGCGATAATCGCGGAAGATAAGGGAAGCGTCCCACTATCAATGGTGTAAGGGGACCGCGGCGCCTTATTTACGCGATATCGGAATCACCTGTTTCCGTGCGTTGGCCCTTATCGATCATAAATACAGGTGTGTTCTTAGGTGATCAAGTAGAATAAAAGAGAGAAAGAGAGAGAGAGAGAGAGAGAGAGAAGGCTAGCAAAGAAATAGAGAAAGAGAGAAAAAGAAGGGGGTAGCACACGAGAGGAATGCACGCGAATGAGAAAAAAAAAAGACACGCTTACGTGAACAAGTCATGTCCTCGGGTGAGCATTCAGGTTTCGGTCGTTTGGGTGGCTGCCTGCCTGCCCGTGTTACCCGATGCCCCCTTCACCTTCACTGCACATATAAGGGCTGCGAGTACCAGCTCCCGCGCACGCACTAGCGAAAAAAATGCATACGCATACGATAACGGGGGTGCGTGCCTGAGGGCTATCCTTATGGGGCTTGGGGAGGCCATACAATACTTTAGTAACACCGTAATACCTCCCCTTTCACGCAGGCAGGTGGGTAGGCAAGCAAGGCAACGTAAGGCAAGGTAAGGCAGGCAGATAGAGCCTTCGAGTATAAAGTAGCTAACCGCTGCACCTCCTCTTCTATCCACCGGCGTGTACATTGGGATTAAAGGGTTCGCGGTATCTCACGTTTGTGTGTCAATTTATCAAGCGCCGCCGATACAGGGGTGGATGGCTTCCCGCTTCTTACGAGGAATTTGGTTACTTCCTTAATATATCAGAAATGTTCTGTTTACGAGTGTGAGATATCGCGTTTAATTCTTAATAAATCTGAGCACATAAACTCGATCAATGACATTCAACGAGAGATAAATCCTAAGAAAATTGACAGTAATATTATTTGTTAAAAATGTTTAAGTATTATTTTGCATAACATAGAGAAAATAATATTAAATAATTCAACAAATAGCAATTAAGCAACAAATTGCAGAAATGCAAGACATCGATCTTCTACGTGTCATAAAACGAAAGCAAAATTAAATTTTAAAACTTTTATTTAACGTATAATATTTTTTATCAAAGGACTTTATATTAAAAAAATTACGTACGCAAATTTTATATTAAATTATTAAAAATCATAATTTATGCGTTGAGTTATTTTTCCATTTTTGCTCATATATGCTCGTAGACAGACAATGTTTTAAAAGTTTCCTCGCGCGATACTTATGCATTTATCTTTCCGATAAAATTTTTTATTTGGACAGAGAGTCATGATACTACATAGCATAAGCACCGATAATTTCAAAATTCGTGAGCTGTCAAACATACCGGTTCGCCCATATTCATTACAGTCACATCGGGATTTATTATCACGTAAAAATTCCGGCTCTGGTGAATAAACCATGATCGGATAACGACACCACATAATTATCCCATAATTTCAGCGTAGAGGGTTTAGAGATCGCATAATCGAGACGCAGAGAGAGAGAGAGAGAGAGAGAGATACACGGACAGGGGCTGAATGGGGTGAGCAAACGAGCGGATGTTCCGCACGAAAAGTATACGAATCGCCGCGTTGTTGGCAATTAAAAACAGCAGTCGTGGGCGGCGACGGGCCTTTCGGACGGAAGTAGTGATCGCTTTCGTGCGCCGACTGGAATTCCTTTTTGCAACCCCGCAAGACGGCACAGGCAGCGGCGCCAAAGCGCGGGGTGCATAAATCGCGCGGGTGCCGAATATTCGGCTATCTCCGCCCACTTTCTCGGTTTCTCTTCATCGGAGAGAGCTCGCTGCAACTTTGGGTGCAGTCGAACCGAAACACAGGTACACACGCGTAAAAACATACACGTACGCGCGTAAACCTATACCGCCGGCCCTCCTATTTATAACGCGAAATTCCCGGAAGGTGAAGGCAGATAGCATCGAACCACCGACATGTACGAAAGAGGACCTACCCATAATTTTCCCCCGATTCGTGGGCTGTCGACCACCGGCCACCGGCTGCACGCACATCCGCATTCGATCAAGTCGCGCACACCGCGAACTTCGTTCTCCTCCTCTTTCTTCATTTCGCTGCCTCACCCTTCCTCGCGCCCTTTGCCAACCCTTTCTAATCCTTCCTGTGCGCACGGACGAGCTCGAATTTTCTTTGCATCTATTTTTTTCTATTTTTTTTTTTTTTTATCGAATTGCGCTCTACATCTCTGCTTTTCAATGCTATTTGACTGAAAGAGAGATTTAGATTTCTCCTTCATTTTAACTTTTTTAGCTAATGAATAATTAAATATTATTTTATTACAACAATAAATTATTAGAATACATAAATTATAATTATTGGTTTCTGATAAACAGTGTTAAAATTTCTGCCTTTGCATTCTTCTTTCATTGACAGTGATAATTTTACAATTAAATATAAATGTAGATAATATATGTTTTAATGCATCTAAAAATTGTTTAAGAATCTATTATTTTTTTTTAATTTTCATTTATGTTTATAAAAAAATACATTTATAAAAAAAAAGCAAAGTAAAATGTAAGAGCTTTTAATGCTTTTAAAATTCTAGTCTTAATAGAAAAAAGTTATTTAAAGATTAATTTGGATTTATGAGAAAACGAACTCTCTCATAATGTAAAATAAACGCATAATTTTCTACGCAAGTGAGATCAAATGGACTTGGTTAAATTTTCTTATCTTCTACAAAGTAGTGCGGTATAGCGCGAGACAACGCAAAATCGGTAATCGGCTGCGGGAATTCTGGGAAGATAATAATATTTGCCCTGATGGCAATCAACCGTCCAGACGGCGGCCAGACAAGACAATGATAGATCAATCTTGCGAGTCTCGCACGCTCTGATGCGCGTCACGTCAACCCGTTCACCCGCTTCACGACCTCACGATCGTGTTTGCCGACGTCGGGCTGGCTGAAGACTTTAGAAAAGAGTCAACCGCGGTACACGACCGTGATTAATTTACAAACGGCTGTGATCGTTTCTTGGCATTGCAATAAGTACGTCTTCCTTCCAGCCAAGTTAGTAATCCCAGATCGGTCGGAAAGTCAATGATAACGAAAGACGGACAAAACCGCAAACACAGGAAGTGATCCTGGTCATGATGATGATGACTTAGTCTCATGGATTGGATTTTTTGGCGGTCGTTGAAGCGCCATCTTATCATGATAAAGCACGCCGAATGAGGTCGAAAGGAATTCAATGTGTGATAAAGAGGAGCTCTATTTTACTTAAATAAATTATTTTAGAAAAAAGGAACATATATTACTCCAAAATTTATATTTTTTAAAAAATATATTTAATTGTATTACTATGAATATATTTTATTTTGTTATTGTATTTAACTATTATTGTATTTAACTTTATTGTACCATGAGTTAGAACAAGTTAATTTTTTCTACGTGCTATGCGTGTATCTAATAAAATAAAATAATAAGATACTGGACTTGTATAGTATAAATCTATTTTAAAAGTTAAAATCTATCCTTTAAACATAATAATAAGCGATTCAATAAAAAACTGATTTAGTACTATTTTGCCAAATTGTTCATGATAAAATTGTTCCCGGATAATAATAAAGAAATTCGTAATTAATAGTAATATAAATTATTCAATTAATTCTCCACTTGGAAAAGATAGCATGGATTTTTTTAATATTATTAATATTTTCTTGTAATTTATATAATTTGTACAAAAGATTATAAAAAATAAAAATAATATAATGACTTATCTCCCAAAACAATATGTATCATATTGGAATGTATTAACGTAATTTAAAATACTTTTAAACCTTATAGTAGTACCTTAAATATACAATTAAAGACTAATAAAATAATTTTAAATAATCTAAATATATAATTATTATCTCTAAATACACAACACAAGTTTTTCGTCTTACTGCACTTCACACAATAGCATTACGGTAAGACAAAACTATGACTAACTATTGAAATTATGTGAATATAAATCTAGACACAATGGTTGGTAAGAGGGCGTTAGCAATCAGAGTATATTTGTGAAACCATGCAAAGTCTCAAATGACTTCGGCTAAATAATCGATGAAAAACATAAATTTTTTTATTTATAATTTAGAAGTATCAAATATAATTGAAATTAGTTTCATATTTTTATTATTACTATAATTTATTAGGTATAAAAGATAATTTTTTTTGTAAAAACTCTATATTTAATCAAACGGATTATCATATAATAGTTTATTGTAATATAATTATGTAGAGAAACGATTGTTCAACAAATAAGAGAAATAAGTTTCTAAATCTTTGAAGGAGAAAAGAAGTAAATAAACTTTGTCGTGTCTAAAAAATTATGTTGAAAGAATTGATTTCGTATTTTTTAAAAATCTGCTATGTATTTCTTTTTAAAATCCAATATAAATTTTAGTGTGTGTGATATAAATTTCAAATAAAAAAATCAATATCGATAAGTATGATAGCACATACCTCGTCGGTAATATCGACTAAGTCGAGGTCGATTAATCGAATTTAAAGAGAATCGACAAGAAAATCGACTTTTAGTTAAAAAGACGTTCGAATATTGATTAGTCGAGTAATCGAGAAAAATCGAATGTCGCTCATTCCTGATGATCAGCAATCTTGCCAGCAAAAACAGTTGTAAAGGTTAGATGATATTAGAAAACATGAATGTACGTAATATACAAGCACGATATACGAAATACAAACAACTTGAAAAGTAAATAGGGATTGTCGCGTCTGTCACATAATGTAAGTTTCAATTGAAAGATTAAATTTATTTCATGTTTGTCAATTTATTATTTCTTATTTTATCACAACAGGGCCAGTTATTACAAAAATGAATTGTAATTTTTAAAAATTTGAATTATTTTTAGCCTATCTTGTATTGCTTCTGTATATAATAAAAATTTTTATTTTATTTTAAATAATATTATATGATATAATTTTTATTATCTTGTAGAATATTTTGTGTTTAAACAAACATTAATCAATTTGTTAAGTATTCTATTTCTGTTAAATATAAAGATAGGATAACATCTTAAGTATAACATAAATTTTAAGTATTTTTCTGTAATTTCGCAATAGCATAATAATATTTCTTTATAAGAAACAGAAATATTCATTATGCTTATAACATAATACTAATTTTTTAGAAAATTATAAATTTCTGGAATTCTGTACAACAAATTATTCGACATTATGTGGGATGAAGACCTGGTTACTATTGCTCTGCCAACAATGTCTACTATTATTTTATTTGTAGTCACGGTAAATTTCTTCAAATACCTCATGAATGGTCCTCATATTCAGATTAGAGATGTTACAAAGGAACATAATTGGAAGGCAATTCGCGAAACAGCTAAGGTATTTTGAAGAATTTACACGATTATTATAGACTGTCTCTTATTTGTGACAAAATAAAATTATCTGACTACCCTCTTCCTAAACATTTTCCTATTTTTAAATTTTTATATGTAATTAATTCAAAACTTCAACAAAATAATAAAAAAAGAAATTGTAGCAATACGCAATGCATGATTTTGTTTTAATTGAATTGAAATAATTATTCAGTATTGAGTATTAAAAACATATCGCAATAATGGTCTATTTTAGTTTATAAATAAATATATATTGATTTTAATTAAAGAGTAGAAACAATATTAAATTATATAAATTAATTAAACACAAATTGTTCTATGAGTGCAGGCATATTACTGTAGTATTTGTGAGGCTTTACTATTGAACCTTGATGCTCTTTTCTGTGATTCTTGTGGCGTGTGTGCGGATCGAGGTTGCATAAAGCTTGCCGATAAACGGCTAAAATGCAAAGCGATAACCTTCAATAATGATCAACTGATGAAGCATCATTGGATTAAAGGTATATTATTAGTTTCTAATTAATATGTATATATATTGTCTTAAATGACTACATGTATTGTCTTTTGTTGTATTTTAAGGTAATTTGCCACTTGTTGCCATATGTTACATCTGTGAAGAAGAGTGTGACGTAGAGCCCGGACTTATAGACTGGTGGTGTTGTTGGTGTCAGAGATGTGTTCATAAAACATGCAAATCTTCTCTATCTGAAGTAAAAATTAATGATATTTCACTTTTTAAATATTTTTCATAATTTTTTAAAATAATTTTTTTTCTGTAAAAAAATCATAATAACATACTAAAAAATTTTATTGATCATTATAATAATCATGTATCTCGTTCAAAATTTTATACAATATTTTATAATGTCTTTATCTTAATAATAAAATGCATTGTAATTTGCATGTAATCAAGAAAAATAATATTTTTAGAAATGCATAATAATGTTTAGTTGCATTATAGGATGCTTTTTACTTTATCTTGTTATTCTGAGAAAGTTGTGTGAAACAGATTGTGGAAAATAAATATATTTCCTCTTTACAGATATGTGATTTTGGAAAGTTCAAATTAATGATTATTCCACCGGGAAGTTTAGAAGTAATAAATCGACGTAGCACAATGAGATGCAGATTACATCTTCGTTCTGTCACACCACCAAATTGGCCTAATTGGAATCCAATCATTGTTGTAGGTAAAAGAACAAAAACATCAATAAATATTGTGTAAAATATGTAAAGACACAGTGATGATGTTTGGATACATCTGTTTCTCATTATTCTCTTTCTTGATAGGAAATAGAAAATCAGGAAACAATGATGGAGGCCAAATTTTGTCTCTATTTAGAAGATTGTTAAATCCTGCGCAAATCGTAGATTTAGCAGACCGTGATCCAGTCGCTGCCCTCGAATGGTGCCGTTTGTTAGGGAAAACTCCATCCACTATACTCGCAGCCGGCGGCGATGGAACCGTCGCTTGGTTATTAAACACCATCAACAAACTTGAATTAGAGGTAAATCTTCCTTCTTGATATAAACATTTATATATACATAAGCACGAGTACAAACAAATTTTTTATACGGAACAGCCTGTTCCATCTGTAGCAATAATCCCTTTGGGGACAGGCAACGATTTATCTAGAGTATTAGGATGGGGAAAGGAACACGATTCGTATTTAGATCCCATGGAACTATTACGGAAAGTTCAAGCAGCGGAGAAAATAAAACTTGATAGGTACGTGATAAAAAAATGTAAATTACTGATTGATTAGATCTGTATACAGCGTATCATTTAGATGGTCAGTGACGATAAAACCATTCGGCGGACTAGGATTCAGAGGATCGTATCATAATTTATTCATGTACAATTACATAAGCGTGGGCGTGGACGCACAAGTGACTTTAGATTTTCATCGCACAAGAGAGAGTCGCTTTTATCTGTTTAGTCATAGAATATTTAACAAGGTATCTTCTTCGTTTTCAAATAATGGCGTAAGTAAAATATTCTAAATTGAATAAAGTAGTTTATATGCGTTTTATACATGTTGGTAGCTATTATACTTGTGCTTTGGCACGCAACAAGTCGTGGAAAGGGAATGTAAAGATCTCGATAAAAGTTTAGAAGTCTATTTAGATGACAAAAAGGTAGAACTGCCTTCTATTGAGAGCATAGTGATACTTAACATTCCATCTTGGGCTGCTGGTGTCGATCTATGGAAAATGGGAATGGAAGGTTAATATCTTTAATAACTATTTATTTAAATATAATAATACTAATTACACACATTGCTTGATAGACAATGAAGGTTCGGAAGTACAAAGTATTAACGATGGCAAATTGGAAGTAGTTGCACTTTATTCTTCATTCCACATGGCTCAGCTCCAAGTAGGCCTTTCGAAACCACATCGAATTGGTCAAGCTAATACCGTAAAGGTATCTATTTTAACAATTTAAAAGTTTTTTTTACATCTATATTTGTACAATATAAGTATTGCTATTGTTTAGATAATATTATCGCGGCCATGCGCCATGCAAGTAGATGGTGAGCCCTGGTACCAACATCCATGCGAATTCAACATAACATACAGCAATCAAGCTTCTATGCTGAGAAGCGATTGTTAAATACTTACTGCGTGATTTTATAGAAAACAATTTGCACAAATGCATTTATTCGTGCGTTATTGGGCGAGTATCAGTTAATGTTTGCCAAATATGTGAACAGTTTAGCTCGACAATTAAAATATTGAAGTGTAAGAAGAAGAAATAAAGATCTCTAGTCAATGTTATTCCATACAGAATATATGTCCGTTATATCTTTTATTGTTTGTAGCTGTTTCTATTTATTGATGCTGTATTTATAATAAAAATATGCAAATAAAATATCAAATAATATATAAATAAAAATATTTTGATGTTTACAAAAGATTTTTTCATCTAACAACCTGTTTAAAATAACATTTTGTTTATCTTTTTATGTTAATTAATAGCTTTTTAAGTTTATAGTTTTTATATAAATTATATATGTACTATAAAAAGCTTTATTGATACTAAAAGCTAATTTCAAATAAATTAGGAGAAATTCATTTGTTAAAAAACTTCAGTTAAAAATTTAATATGTAAATCATTTTATTTTGAAAAAATAGTAAAGAATAAATAATGTAAACAGAATATTTTAGCAATTCTTCTATAATAATAAAAAAGAATAACACAAGAAATTAATTTTATTAAATTATGACAGAACGTCAAATATATTTTTTATTGATCTTGACAACAGCTTGGATTTTACATGAGATGGCTAGAATAATGAAAGACATTGATTAAGATATGTTAAAAATTGGAAAAATTAAATAAAATATAGAGAAAGAATCATTTTTGATTGCTTAAAATAATGCGTACTGAATATTATAAATTTTATAACCAAAATTTTATAACCAAAAACAGAAAGATTATATCTGTAAGTACATATTAAAATCATAAAAATAATTTATTAAAAGATAATTATTACACATACACACACACATATTTATAATTTATTAAAATAACATAGAAATGTATGTATGATAAATTGCAAATTGTGTTAATATCTTTAACACAATAATTATTATATAGTGTTAGAAGGATTCCTTTCTAAAGCAGAATCCAAATTGATCGCATTTGTACCGAAGAATCCTAGCGAGTTGTGGCGGTCCGCAAAAAAACACTGTAATTTTTCCTTTCTTCTTATCCTGAAGCTGTTTGAATACCTTATCCCAATTGGGACGACCTGCATTCGTTCTGGTTTTTAATCCTGTAATGAGATCTCGTTTTTCCTAATTAACGAGAAGAAACAAAAAAATTAATACGGCAAATTTTATTATCATTTGTGTAAATTCTTTAGTACACATTTAAAAACTAGTCATATAATTAAAAATATTTAAATAATTATGTGTGTATAATTATAAAGATATTTCTGACTTTTTCGTGCAGAAGATCCAGCGCCAATTGCAAGCCAACTGCCTTCATGTCGCTCTTTTGCAATGCGCTTGTGATGTACATATGCATCTCCAGAAAGCGTTCCATGGTGATACCTAACTCAGCTTGTTCTATCTCAAGTTGAGATAGTAAGTTTACGAACCATTCAAATGAACGTTGATTGCGGTTAATCCAAAAAAAGTCAACCTATAAAATATTCTTCCTTAAATTTAAAAATTATATATAATAAACGTTGCAAATACATTTTCTATGACTATTTAATAGTTAATATTAGAAAACCTACATAAATCGAACTTGTTTTATATATGTATATATATAAATTGATATTAAATTACACTCTATACGCACTATATTCTTCGCTATAACGAGCTTCAGATTTTTAATATTAATACAAACGTTATTAAGTATCAGTAATTTATACAAATTTTATTTCGAGATTAATCAAATTAGAGAAAGAGAACGAAAGAGAGAGAGAGAGAGAGAGAGAGAAAAGAAAAATCTATTTACTTTTCGTAAATTCATTACAGTAGGCGGAATTTCACTAGCCCAGGAGAATGAACATTTTGGGCAAGTATGTCTCGCTTTCCAATATCGATGCATAATCGATTGCAATATAGAAGCGAAAGGAGTAACTCCGATTCCTGTGGCGATTAAAACAGCATGCTGCGCTCGAAAGATATGACTTGATGGTGCTCCATAAGGACCGTCTAAAAAGATCTACGATGACGATACATTATTTTTTCAAAATAAGTTAACAATAATTAATTGAAAAAACCTTAAGTACATTATAAGTTTATAATAAAAACTATTTGTAAATACAATTTACCTCAAGTGGTTTCCCTACAGGGTAATTTATAGGTAGTTGAGAAGAACTATCAGATTTCAAATCTAAACTATTTGAACTACCTACAGCTTCATTAAACCCTTGTCTCAATTTTCCTTCTTCTGCCGCAATTTGCATTGTTATCGATGTATTGTGCAATATTTCATTTCCTTCCGCATTTGCATTTGTTGCTGTAAACATAGCACGATATAAAAATATTATGAAAAATAAACTTATATTCTTTAATATTTTTAATATAAACATTTTTTACATGGTTTATAAATGTAATCATTTGACTTAAACAATTTTTTATAATTATAATTATTACATTATTATTGTTATTATATTATTACGTTATTTTGCAAAAAAAAATTTTTTTCCATATTTCTAAATATAATATAATATATTTTTCAATAATAACTTACCAACATTTGACAGCACGTCAATCTCATAATCGTCCGTTTCAAAACTGGGTGTTTTAAATGCAATAATAGTCGGTTTTGTCCGCATGTATCGGAAACTTTGAGCTAATGATTTGTTTTGCGGACTCAAGTAGGCTAAGCCCAATGACTTGAATCGCGCGCATTTCATTTGACACTCGTCGAAATTCCTTTCCGATTCAGATCTCATGTAATCTCGAAGTCTACGTATCATAATAAGAATATTATTATATATGAAATATTTTATTACAAAGACTTCATAATTGTTACAATAACAATAAAATTTAAAGACTCAATTGTGAGATAAAAAATATAAAGAAAAAAAAGTTTGTGATAAGATTAACTTTTTGAGAGCAAATATGTATTTATGTAGGTATCTAATATTAATTTACTTACGCTCTGAGTCGTTCTTTTTTCTTGCTTTTGATTTGCATATCGGGCATCGAATGTGATTTTTTAAGTGGTATTTTGGTACTAAGAAAAAATTGATGTAATTTCTTATCTCTTTTTACAGACACGTCTGTCCATTCCTTGTTTGATTCTGGCGTATCTGTTCGTACATACATAACGTGACTTTGATTAACACAAGTTTGGATCTATTAGTCTTTTGATTTTTTATGTGTGTGTGTGTGTGTGTGTGCATACGCGTGTGGACTATATATTTTTTAAATCAGTCTTACGTTCAGTAGTTTTTAAATATGCAGACTTATTATTAATTGATGCATGCGAAGGTGACACAGAATTCGATAAGTCAGATATGAACGAAGGATTGTCCAGATGAGCCTGAGGCATGGATTCCATTGAAGCTTTCTGTGTTACAATAAGTGGCGTTTTTTTGCCACTGATAAAACTACACAATAAGAAATATTAAAAAATCTAATGTATGTATATAGTACATATATAATATAGGATAACTAAAAATGTTACAATTTTATTGTTAAAAATCATTATTTTTAATTTTATGCACAAAATTACAAAATTACTTTCTGGATTTTATATAAATCTTTGATTAAATCACGGCAAACTTACGATTTTTTGGAGAGAACACAAACAGCATCACAGTTCTCGGCAGGCAATATGTCACAATGAAGTTTTATTTGTTCTTTTTCAAAGTACGAGTATAAACTGTTGGTCCATTCACCAACCGCACGAATGTGTAGCCACATATAATCTGTATAAAAATAATATATTAATTTTGGGAGATGTACACATATATACGTATACAAATGCAGTAATTGTAGTAATGAAAAGCAACATCGATCAAAGTGCAAAAATTTGCAGCTTACCTTCTTGTTCGGGAGCACTGCTAATGGTAAAAGGATGCCATTCATATTTTGCTATTACTGGGATTTTAACGAATACATAATCGCCAGGATGAAAGTGAAAATTGGATGGTCTCTTAATAACCAGATTAGTCACCTTCGAAGGTAAAAGGAGACCAGAACTTATATAGGTCTTTCCACGGTTAGAACGTAACCACACAAGTCGACGAATTTTTTCTACTAGGTATATAATACCCGGACCGACAAACCACTTCCAGAAGTTAGGACCATGGAAGATCAACAGAATCCAGAATGGTATGTATAGCAAATGGGACCAATAAAATATCTTGTAACAAAAAATTGTTTTTATAAAACGGATAATGAAGCTATTGCTTTTAGACAATCAAAAAGATTATAATGGTTAAAATAAAAATAATTATAAGGCTCAATATGTATAAAATAGTATAAATATAAAGAGGGTAACGAGCCAAGTAAATTAACGAACAATTTAATTTAAACATAAACGAAAAGTACAAGGGACATTGTAAGAGTCATATAAATAAAATTTAAAAAGTTAGATAATAGTCATATAATAAAAGATCATCTTACATTTCAACAATTACAAGATTCTGTAAAAATCCGAAGCTATACATTTCTAAAATTCTAAAGACTACTTTACATTTCTAAACTTCTAAAGACTACTTCATAAATACTACTTCATTAAGTAGTCTTTAGAAGTTTAGAAATGTAAAGTAGTCTTTAGAATTTTAGAAATGTATAGCTTCGGATTTTTACAGAATCTTGTTATTTTTGAAATGTAAGATGATCTTTTATTATATGACT